GTAAGGGTAGGTAACAACACATCTGCCATGCTGATCCTCAACACGGGGGCCCCTCAGGGGTGCATGCTCAGTCCCCTCCTGCACTCCCTGTTCACTCATGACTGCATGGCCAGGCACGACTCCAACACCATCATTATGTTTACCGATGACACAACAGTGGTAGGCCTGATCACCGACAACAACGAGACAGCCTATAGGGAGGAGGTCAGAGACCTGGCCAGGACAACAACCTATCCCTCAACGTGATCAAGACAAAGGAGATGATTGTGGACTACAGAAAAAAGAAGAGGACCGCCCCCATTCTCATCGTAGTGTAGTGGCTGTAGTGGAGCAGGTTGAGTGCTTCAACTTCCAACAAACTAACATGGTCCAAGCACACCAAGACAGTTGTGAAGAGTGCACGACAAAACCTATTCCCCCTAAGGAGACTGAAAAGATTTGGTATGGGGTCCTCAGATCCTCAAAAGGTTCTACAGCGGAACCATCGAGAGCACCCTGACTGGTTGCATCACTGCCTGGTATGGCAACTGCTTGCCTCCGACCGCAAGACACTACAGAGGGTAGTGCGTACGGCCGAGTACATCACTGGGGCCAAGCTTCGTGCCATCCAGGACCTACAGTGGGGAGAACAAGTATTTGATACACTGCAGATTTTGCAGGTTTTCCTACTTACAAAGCATGTAGAGGTCTGTAATTTTTATCGTAGGTACACTTCAACTGATTCATATGCATTTTATTGCATGACATAAGTATTTGATCACCTACCAACCAGTTAGAATTCTGGCTCTCACAGACCTGTTAGTTTTTCTTTAAGAAGCCCTCCTGTTCTCCACTCATTACCTGTATTAACTGCACTTGTTTGAACTTGTTACTTATATGAAAGACACCTGTCCACACACTCAATCAAACAGACTCCAACATCTCCACAATGGCCAAGACCAGAGAGCTGTGTCAGGGATAAAATTGTAGACCTGCACAAGGCTGGGATGGGCTACAGGACAATAGGCAAGCAGCTTGGTGAGAAGGCAACAACTGTTGGCGCAATTATTTGAAAATGGAAGAACAAGATGACGGTCAATCACCCTCGGTCTGGGGCTCCATGCAAGATCTCACCTCGTGTGGCATCAATGATCATGAGGAAGGTGAGAGATCAGCCCAGAACTACACGGCAGGACCTGGTCAATGACCTGAAGAGAGCTGGGACCACAGTCTCAAAGAAAACCATTAGTAACACACTACGCCGTCATGGATTAAAATCCTGCAGCGCACGCAAGGTCCCCCTGCTCAAGCCAGCGCATGTCCAGCCCCGTCTGAAGTTTGCCAATGACCATCTGGATGATCGAGAGGAGGAATGGGAGAAGGTCATGTGGTCTGATGAGACAAAAATTGAGCTTTTATTGTCTAAACTCCACTCGCCGTGTTTGGAGGAAGAAGAAGGATGAGTACAACCCCAAGAACACCATCCCAACTGTTAAGCATGGAGATGGAAACATCATTCTTTGGGGATGCTTTTCTGCAAAGGGTACAGGATGACTGCACCGTATTGAGGGGAGGATGGATGGGGCCATGTATCGCAAGATCTTGGCCAACAACCTCCTTCCCTCAGTAAGAGCATTGAAGATGGGTCGTGGCTGGGTCTTCCAGCATGACAATAACCCGAAACACACAGCCAGGGCAACTAAGGTGTGGCTCTGTAAGAAGCATCTCAAGGTCCTGGAGTGGCCTAGCCAGTCTCCAGACATGAACCCAATAGAAAATCTTTGGAGGGAGCTGAAAGTCCTTATTGCCCAGCGACAGCCAGAAACCTGAAGGATCTGGAGAAGGTCTGTATGGAGGAGTGGGCCAAAATCCCTGCTGCAGTGTGTGCAAACCTGGTCAAGACCTACAGGAAACGTATGATCTCTGTATTTGCAAACAAAGGTTTCTGTACCAAATATTAAGTTCTGCTTTTCTGATGTATCAAATACTTATGTCATGCAATAAAATGCAAATTAATTACTTAAAAATCATACAATGTGATTTTCTGGATTTTTGTTTTAGATTCCGTCTCTCACAGTTAAAGTGTACCTATGATAAAAATTACAGACCTCTACATGCTTTGTAAGTAGGAAAACCTGCAAAATCGGCAGTGTATCTCCCCACTGTATATACCAGGCGGTGTCAGCGGATGGCCCTAAAAAGCACCTAGTCATAGACTGTTCTCTCTGCTAACGCACGGCAAGTGGTACCGGAGTGCCAAGTCTAGTTCCTAGAGGCTTCTGAACAGCTTCTACCCCCAAGCCATAAGACTCCTGAACATCTAATCAAATGGCTACCCAAAACCCCTATATATAGCTTCACAATTGTTATTTTTACTACTGCTCTTTAATTATTTGTTACTTTTATTTCGTATTATTTTATATTGTATTTTTTTGTGTGATTTCTTTTGGGGGGTATTCTTTCTTAAAACTGCATTGTTGGTTAGGGGCTTGTATGTAACGGTTGTATTCGGCACATGTGAAAAGGTATGTGTGAGAATATCTTTAACTGTACCTACATTGCATACGGAAAGTATTCAGACCCCTTGACTTTTTCCAAATTCTGATACGTTACAGCCTTATTCTAAAATTGATTAAATTGTTGTTGTTTTTTCACACATAAATCTAGGCACGATACCCCATAATGACAAAGCAAAAACAGTTTTTGGAATATTTTGCACATTTATAAAAAATTACAAACGGAAATATCACATTTACATTAGTATTCAAACCCTTTACTCAGTACTTTGTTCAAACACCTTTGGCAGCGATTACAGCCTCGAATCTTCTTGGGTATGACGCTACAAGCTTGGCACACCTGTATTTGGGGAGCTTCTCCCATTCTTCTCTGCAGATCATCTCAAGCTCTGTCAGGTTGGATGGGGAGCGTCACTGCACAGCTATTTTCAGGTCTCTCAATATTTTTCTATTGGGTTCAAGCACGGGCTCTGGCTGGGCCACTCAAGGACATTCAGAGACTTGGCCCGAAGGGCACTCGTGCGTTGTCTTGGCTGTGTGCTTAGGGTCATTGTCCTGTTGGAAGGTGAACCTTCGCCCCAGTCTCAGGTCCTGAGCGCTCTGGAGCAGGTTTCCATCAAGGATCTCTCTGTACTTTGCTCCGTTCATCTTTCCCTCGATCCTGACTAGTATCCCAGTCCCTGCCGCTGAAGAACGTCTACACCGAATGATGCTGCCACCACCATGCTTCACCGTAGGGATGGTGCCAGGTTTTCTCCATACGTGACGCTTGGCATTTAGGCCAAAGAGTTCAATATTGGTTTCATCAGACCAGAGAATCTTGTTTCTCATGGTCTGAGAGTGTTTAGGTGCCTTTTGGCAAACTCCAAAGGGGCTGTCATGTGCCTTTTACTGAGGAGTGCCGTGTAGCTCTGTTGGTAGAGCATGGCGCTTGCAACGCCAGGGTTGTGGGTTCGATTTCCACGGGGGACCAGTATGAAAATGTATGCACTCACTAACTGTAAGTCGCTCTGGATAAGAGCGTCTGCTAAATGACTAAAATGTAATGTAAAATGAGTGGCTTCGGTCTGGCCACTCTACCATAAAGGCCTGATTGGTGGAGTGCTGCAGAGATGGTTGTCCTTCTGGAAAGTTCTCCCATCTCCACAGAGGAACTCTGGAGCTCTGTCAGAGTGACCATCAGGTTCTTGGTCACCTCCCTGACCAAGGCCCTTCTCCCCCGATTGCTCAGTTTGGCTGGGAGGCCAGCTCTAGGAAGAGTCTTGGTGGTTCAAAACTTCTTCTATTTAAGAATGATGGGACCTTCAATGCTGCCGAATTTGTTTTGTACACTTCCCCAGATCTGTGCATCGACACAATCCTGTTTCAGCGCTCTACAGACAATTCCTTCGACTTCATGGCTTGGTTTTTGCTCCGACATGCACTGTCAACTGTGTGGCTTTATATAGGCAGGTGTGTGCCTTTCCAAATCATGTCCAATCAATTGAATTTACCCTAGGTGCTCCAATCAAGTTGTAGAAATATCTCAAGGATGATCAATGGAAACAGGATGCAGCTGATAAAAATGTTGCGTCTCATAGCAAAGGGTCTGAATACTTATGTAAATAAGGTATTTCTGAAATTTCTAAAAATCTGTTTTCACTTTGTCATTATGGGGTATTATGTGTAGATTGATGAGGAAAAACATATAGTTAATCAATTTTAGAATAAGGCTGTAAGGTAACAAAATGTGGAAAAAGTCAAAGGGTCTGAATACTTTCCGAATGCACTGTATATGGGAATATTTGTGCATCTATCTGGTATTTCCTTAGTCATTTTACATATACAATACTCTAAGAAATAGAGCACGCACACTCATATGCTCCACCACCTTTATTAGTTAACAAACATAGTTAGATCCTGCAAGGATCTTCGTCAGGTCATTTTCTCCTGGAAGTGTACCACACTCATATTTATAGACATAAGATAAGCCAATTAGGGCGGTCTTTACATATTTAAGGTGAAAGGGGCAGCACAAAAACAATAATATATATATATATATATATATATACACTTCTCGAATATTATGATGGTTTAACCATTCGTATCATGTAGACAAAGCATATGTTACAATACTCAACAGTGGTTGTCGTAATGCAGACTTTTCCATTAGCCATTTCCTGTGAACTCCATCTGATTCATTTATTAAGTCCTTTTGGAGACATGGTTTCCAATCGGAATATCCAGTAGGATTCTCTTTGCAATAGAAGTCTTTCGATGTCCCCCCCCCTCGACACGGGACTTTGACATGCTCGATACCCATTTTCTTTAATGAGGCAACATTGTGTCTGACAGTCATAAAGTGCATAGCGACTGGACTTTTGGGGTCTTGGTTTCTGATGCTACTCCTATGTTCGGATATGCGTGTCTTGAGTGCCAGGCGAGTCTTACACACATAGGCCAGGCCATTGATTTTTTTTTAATACCAATGTGATAATCAAACTCGCTGACAAGGGGGGTGCCATCATGATTCACTATGTGAATGAGGTCAAAAGGCAACTGATGAACACCCCTTTTTATAGGCGATTGCCCTCCGACCCGACAACGATTTTCAAAAAGGATGTTCATGACAGTTTTTTAACAGTGACATAACCAACAAAGAGTTTCACTTCGTGAAGGTTGATAGTCCCGTTATGCCTGTGATCTATACCCTGCCTAAGATTCACAAAAAGCTTGACCATCCCTGAGGAAGGCCTATAGTTTCTTCTATAGGGTAATTGAGTGAGAAGATACCAACATATGCCATAATTTCTTCCTGAAACCACATGTGAGAGATTCCATGGATATGATAAGCACATAAGTCTATAGGGTCATTATGGCTACATTTAATGTTGCGAGTCTATAGTATATATGTATGTATTCCTCACCAGGGAGGGCTAGAAGCTCTCACCGTCTTTCTGAATCAGCACACCCCTGAGACTCTCCCAAGCACGCCATGCATCAAAGAAATAGCTTAACTGGTGTTTACCAAAAATGTTTTCATGTTTAAGAATGACTTCTTGTTACAAACAAGAGGTCCGGCAATGGGGAGCATGGCTCCCAATTACACCAACCTTTTCATGGGACTCTTTGAACATGACCTTATTTTTTGCCAAAACATTCCATTCTTAAGCCAGATAAAGTTATGGCGTCGCTGTATGGATGATATTATGGTTATATTTTGTGGAGAAGAACATGAACTGCTGACTTTTTAAACGGCTGCAACGAATACCTGAAATTTACCATGAGCCATGTTAAAAAACAGATACATTTTCTTGACATTCTTATCATTAGAGAGGGTAACAGTTTTGGCATAGATCTGTACGAAAAAAACTATGGACAGTAACGCACCACTGCGGGAGACAGTTTCCATCCTTTACCCCTAAAAAGGAGCCTCCCGATCAGCCAATATAGCCATGTACTTACACTGTGCAGCAAACAAGATAACTTTAATAAACAGGCAGATCACCTGAATAACCAATTAAAAAAGGGGCTACCATGAGGAGTAGTTGGAAAAGGCATCGGAAAGATTCCAGAATGTAACCCAAGACGAGTGTCTACAAATGAAGCGGAAAAATAAGTCACACGATTCAACACTTTGTTTCCACCAATACTCCCAGTTGGGAAGAGAGTTTGAAGGGATCATCAAAAAACACTGGCACGTACTGAACACAGATCTCAGACTATCCACAGTTTTCAGACACCCACCCGGGATAGGGTACAAACACCCCCCTAACATCAGAGAGATGGTTGTCAAGTCAGATTTGCCCCCAAGAAATTCAATAATGTACATGCCTCCGAAGTGGCGCAGTGGTCTAAGGCATGCAGTGCTAGCTGTGCCACTAGAGATCCTGGTTCGAATCCAGGCTCTTTCGTGTGCGGCGTCGTCCAGGGTAGGGGAGGGAATGGCCGGCAGGGATGTAGCGCAGTTGGTATTAAAAAATAATAATAATGTATGCACTCACAAACTGTAAGTCGCTCTGAATAAGAGCGTCTGCTAAAATGTAAATGTAAATGTAATACATCATTACATTGTAATGAAGCTACACAATGGAGACTGTAGCGTCACTAGTTGGTCGATGACACTATTATATTTAATTAGTCCTGGCCTGTTGTATTCATGTGAACCTTATCAGTTTTAATATAATGTTAGCTATCATGTTTGCTAAATTCACAGGCTTGAGGACGCAGATGGACTCAAAGTCACAAATGTTGCAAAAGTTGAGACTGTAGATTCACACTTCTAAAATGTGTTGCTTTCATTGGCATGTCTGTCTGCAATGTAATGTACAAAGACACAGTAGATGACCTATATTTATGAGCAAACAAAATGGCACAGATCTCATGCTGTGTACTGGCTTAATCTGACAGTGGTCGTGAAATAGCATTTCTGTGTTAACACTTCTAAACAGACATTAACACATTGAGGATTGCTAGTTGAGCACAAAGCAGATGCATTGGCTTGCAAAGTGATGTGTAATTCCTATTGGAATCCAGCCAGAGTGGAACAACCATCTCAGTAACGGGTGCAATACATGTATGTTATTTACAGACAGACAACAATTGGAACTTTTAATTCAGAAGGACTACCAGGGTACAGACAATTGACTGACGAGACTACCTGGAACATTTAAACTGGAACAACCATCTCAGTAATGGGGTGCAATAATCCAACTACTAACAGATTGTATTCGTTTAGAAAAATGTATGTTATTTATGGCTGCATTGGACCTTGAACAACGAGGCTTGAAGAAAATTAGGATAAGTGAATCCATTGGGTTGAGATGGGGCTTGTTCTAGTGGTTAATGAGAGGCCTCAGACAAACCTGTTCCTATTGGTAGATGGGTAAAAATAAAACAAATCAAACACTGAATATCCTTTTGAGCTTGGTGAAGTTATTAATGACACTTTGGATGGTGTATCAACACACCCAGTCACTACAAAGATACAGGCATCCTTCCTAACTCAGTTGCCGGAGAGGAAGGAAACCGCTCAGGGATTTCACCATGAGGCCAATGGTGATTTTAAAACAGTTACAACGTTTAATGGCTGTGGTAGGAGAAAACTGAGGATGGATCAACAACATTTTAATTACTCCATGATAGTAACCTAATTGACAGAGTGAAAAGAAGGAAGCCTGTACAGAATAAAAATATTCCAAAACATGCATCCTGTTTGCAACTGTAATGAATACTCAGGGAGAAAAAGGTGTAGATTCACGCGCAAATCGCGGCAGGTTTTAATTTCGCCTTTGCAGAAGGCAGGAATCATGGTCACAGGCAGGTGAATCAAAACTAGGACTGAAGGCTATACCTGGTTCTCATAAACGAGCTAGGAAAAGGCTTAGTAGTCAAAACGAACAATACCTCACAAGGCACAAACAGAATGAACTGAACTAAATAAGGAGCTAATGAGACCATGTGAGTAACTAACACAGGTGAAAACAATGAACAAAAATGAAAGACAGGGCTACGTTCAAGAACATAAAGAAACAGGAATACGTTCAAGCTAAGAAAATAAATACAGAACCTTACAAAGGGAGTCCTGAGGCCCCAACAGTCTTGACTGTTTCACTACATATGGGAGGTTTCATCATAGCCTTACAGTTAATCACAGACATTGCAGCCCCAGTATCCACAATAAATATTATTGACTCACCATAGACGCAAGCCTCCACTGTTGGCTCAATTCAAGGAAGGGTGTGGCTCTTTAAAAACAAATGGTTGCCCTGACGATTTGTTAGACGTCAGTGCGGCTTTTGACATTATCGATTATAGTCTGCTGCTGGAAAAACGTATGTGTTATGGCTTTACTCCACCTGCTATATTGTGGATACAGAGTTACCTGTCTAACAGAACACAGAGGGTGTTCTTTAATGGAAGTCTCTCCAACATAATCCAGGTAGAATCAGGAATTCCCCAGGGCAGCTGTCTAGGCCCATTACTTTTTTCAATCTTTACTAATGACATGCCACTGGCTTTGAGTAAAGCCAGAGTGTCTATGTATGCGGATCACTCAACACTATACATGTCAGCTACTACAGCGACTGAAATGACTGCAACATTTAACAAAGAGCTGCAGTTAGTTTCAGAGCGGGTGGCAAGGAATAATTTAGCCCTAAATATTTCTAAAACTAAAAGCATTTTATTTGGAACAAATCATTCACTATACTCCAAACCTCAATAAAATCTTGCAATAAATAATGTGGAGATTGAGAAAGTTGAGGTGATTAAACTGCTTGGAGTAACCCTGGATTGTAAACTGTCATGGTCAAAACATATTAAAAGTAGCTAAAATGTGGAAAAGTCTGTCCATAATAAAGCGCTAATCTACCTTCATAACAGCACTATCAACACGGCAGGTCCTACAGGCTCTAATTGTATCACACCTGGACTACTGTTCAGTCGTGTGGTCATGTACCACAAAGAGGGACTTATTATTATTATTATTATTATATATTTTTAAAAAATGTAGGGGGTAGATCAGCTTTAATATTGCAGATAGATTGTAACTTCCATCAATGTAATTGTCTGCATCACTTCTAATCCCCCATATGTTTTTTTTCTTCTCGCAAATATATATATACAGTGGGGAGAACAAGTATTTGATACACTACCGATTTTGCAGGTTTTCCTACTTACAAAGCATGTAGAGGTCTGTAATTTTTATCATAGGTACACTTCAACTGTGAGAGACGGAATCTAAAACAAAAATCCAGAAAATCACATTGTATGATTTTTAAGTAATTAATTTGCATTTTATTGCATGACTTAAGTATTTGATACATCAGAAAAGCAGAACTTAATATTTGGTACAGAAACCTTTGCTTGCAATTACAGAGATCATACGTTTCCTGTAGGTCTTGACCAGGTTTGCACACACTGCAGCAGGGATTTTGGCCCACTCCTCCATACAGACCTTCTCCAGATCCTTCAGGTTTCGGGGCTGTCGCAGGGCAATACGGACTTTCAGCTCCCTCCAAATATTTTATATTGGGTTCAGGTCTAGAGACTGGCTTGGCCACTCCAGGACCTTGAGATGCTTCTTACGGAGCCACTCCTTAGTTGCCCTAGCTGTGTGTTTCGGGTCGTTGTCATGCTGGAAGACCCCGCCACGACCCATCTTCAATGCTCTTACTGAGGGAAGGAGGTTGTTGGCCAAGATCTTGCGATACATGGCCCCATCCATCCTCCCCTCAATACGGTGCAGTCGTCCTGTCCCCTTTGCAGAAAAGCATCCCCAAAGAATGATGTTTCCACCTCCATGCTACACGGTTGGGATGGTGTTCTTGGGGTTGTACTCATCCTTCTTCTTCCTCCAAACACGGCGAGTGGAGTTTAGACCAAAAAGCTCTATTTTTGTCTCATCAGACCACATGACCTTCTCCCATTCCTCCTCTGGATCATCCAGATGGTCATTGGCAAACTTCAGACGGGCCTGGACATGCGCTGGCTTGAGCAGGGGGACCTTGCGTGCGCTGCAGGATTTTAATCCATGACGGCGTAGTGTGTTACTAATGGTTTTCTTTGAGACTGTGGTCCCAGCTCTCTTCAGGTCATTGACCAGGTCCTGCCGTGTAGTTCTGGGCTGATCCCTCACCTTCCTCATGATCATTGATGCCCCACGAGGTGAGATCTTGCATGGAGCCCCAGACCGAGGGTGATTGACCGTCATCTTGAACTTCTTCCATTTTCTAATAATTGCGCCAACAGTTGTTGCCTTCTCACCAAGCTGCTTGCCTATTGTCCTGTAGCCCATCCCAGCCTTGTGCAGGTCTACAATTTTATCCCTGATGTCCTTACACAGCTCTCTGGTCTTGGCCATTGTGGAGAGGTTGGAGTATGTTTGATTGAGTGTGTGGACAGGTGTCTTTTATACAGGTAACGAGTTCAAACAGGTGCAGTTAATACAGGTAATGAGTGGAGAACAGGAGGGCTTCTTAAAGGAAAACTAACAGGTCTGTGAGAGCCGGAATTC